ATGGATCAATACTCTGTTAGCCAACTATTATTTGCAACTAAAGTCAAATTTGGAAAAGATAATCAGCCTAAAAAAGCTAAATTAGCAAAGAAATTGTAAGTGGATACTATATCCCCATCTTATATGTCTAGTGATGAAGCTTTGGCCCTTATTTTAGATTGTAATTTAACAAAAGCATCAACTGATGAAAAGCAAAGCTGATAAAAAGGAATGCAATCTCTACCCAGCATATAATAATGTTAGAATGGCAAAAGATCGATGCTATCCTAAAAAAATTTGTGATTCCACTTCAAGATCACACTGGATCACACTGCTAGTGTTCCAAGATCTACTGGATCACACTACAACAAGACTATTGGAGACACAGACTGGTGTTGTAAATGCAAATGAGTATAATAGAGTAACTCTAATATACAAAGCTGGTTTTGATGGCTCAAGTGGGCATAGTATTTATAAAAAAACATGTAATGATAATGAGTGTACTAGGAATCTGAAGAGTGAAGAATCTCTGTTTATTACATGCTTTGTACTTTTAGAATTCTCATCTATTGTTAATGATAAAAAGATTATTCTTTGGAGAAACCATCATCTACTTTGTACCACCAACCTTTGCAATTTAAATTTGAAGAGGAAACTGCAGACCTTCTTCGTAGTGAGGAATTGACATTAAAAAATGAGATCAAACAGCTAACTAAAACAAGCTATATCCTACTTAATGGTAAGCCTATTGATTTTGACCATAAAATTGAAATTACTATGATTGATGGCAAAGCCCATATTGCATTATCTGATGTAACTGACTCATCACAGTGTTGCTCTCTTTGTGGTGTTAGTCCTAAAGAAATGAATGATATTGACAAGGTATATAGAAAATATTGTATATATAAACTAGTAGAAAATCACTCAATAAAACTTTTTTAATTTAACACTGTTTTATTAATAAAGACTCATCAGAAATGCATCATTTCTGATGAGTCTTTATTGTTGAAACGCAGTGTTGAATGAAAAATTTTTGTAAAGTGATTTTATAATTTAATTTATTATTGCTGTTCTTTTAATAACATTATTACATTTTAAAATTTGTTTATATTTATATATATATATATATATATATATATATATATATATTTATATATATATATATATATATATATATATATATATATATATATATATTTATATTTGATTAGTTTAAAATGCAGTTTTTATTTATTACAGGTGTTACTGAAGTTGCACACTCGATAGGCTTAAGGCTAGCGGCTCAGGAACATCTAATGATGGCAACACCTCACAAAGAGCCTTTCAGAATGAACAACTGTTTTCTGAAATCACAGGACTCAATTTTAAACTTATAAAAATGTTTCATGTTGTTCTGACTTGTATTTCATGTGGTTTTGAGCTTGATGCAGTTTTATTCAGGGAATACTGTACACATACAGCTAGGTTTTACGTGGAGTGCTATCCATGGTATTATATGCCGCAGAGCATTCACAAAATGCTAATTCGTGCTCCCAGTGTTGTTGATTACATGACATTACCAATTGGGCTCTTAAGTGAAGAAGCTATAGAGGCTCGGAATAAAGATTTTTAAAAGTATTGTGAACATTTTACACGCAAGTGTGACCGTATCAAATGTAATGAAGATTTATTTAAGTGATTATTTTTTTTAGTGATCCAGTCATTTCTTCACTAAGAATAATAGTTAGTACTAAGAAGAAGGTTTTGCCAGAAGGTGTTTTGCAACTTTTAAGAAACAGTGTCTAGTTGTTCTTTTTATGGAATTTTACAGGCTAATTTTTGGTTTCTTGCTTTAATTATTATTAAAATTTAAATTTATGCATTGTAAATTAAAATTGTTAGTATTCTATAACTAGCATAAATTAAAAATTTCCCACATACATTTATTTGGAACACCAGAACATTAAAAATCCTATTTTTTTAATAATTTGCAGTAAATAAGTCAAGAATTTGTATAAAATTGACTGTCACTATAAAAATATATAAGATGTTGCTATGCATAATAAGATATCCATAGCAACCAAACTAAATATCATAATATAAAACGCATATCTCGTATTGGTACTTTTACCAAATTTAATGTGTATGACACACTACAACTACAAGTAGGTTTATAACAACTACAAGTAGGTTTATGCTACGCCAAAATAAGTATCCATAGCAACCAAATAAAAAAATAACATCTTAATAAGAGGCGCAGACCTTACACTGGTGCTCATGCCAAATTTAGTGTATATAGCACACATAACAAATCTGCAACTATAAAAAGTAGGTTGTTGCTATGCAAAAAAATAGATATCTATAGCAACTAAATAAAAAATAACACCTTCATAAGAAGCTCTAACCTTATATTGGTACTCATGCCAAATATAGTAAATGTAGCACTAATATTAAATAAGTAATTAATTTTGTCTCAAAATTGGCCGTTCTGTTCCACTGTGCAGTGGGCAAATTGAATTAATTTAAATATATATATATATATATATATATATATATATATATATATATATATATATATATATATATATATATACATATATATATATATATATATATATATATATATATATATATATATATATATATATATATATATATATATATATATTTATTTATGTACAAAGGAAAAAAGATTTAGGCTTTTGACTTTATTGTCTACATTTTTGTTTTTTTCCTGTTTTGAACCCCGCTAATTGTGTTTCATTTGGAACTAGACCTGATTAAGTGGCATTGTTAGGAACCGCTTTATGAAATAATTATCCATGAACAAATTAATATTTATTATAAATTCCTATTTTTTAATTTATTTCCTATGTAAATTTAGACTTTACATAGCATACCATGAATAATATGCTATTAAAAGTTAATTTGAGTTCATTTGACACCAACTTTGTTTGTTTTGTCTTTACAATATGTGTGATTTTAAAACTATTTAGAAGAACTATAAAGAAGATTTATAGACAACACGGTATGGTAGACTTAAGATAACATTAAACTCGAAGCCAAGCAAATAAATGAAATTCATATTATGTGATACTATGCTCCATGCCTAATAAAAGTACATTGTTATTTTGTCCTTGGGTACAAATTATGTTATGCATCAAAGATATTTTGATAATTTATGTTTGGTAGTAATGTTATTAATACATTTATTTCTTAACTATATTTTAAAAAATAACCGCAAAAACCTAGTTTTTGACATTATATTGCACTCCCTTAACAAAATGACAAGATTGCATGTAAATAGCTGCTTGTAATTAAAAAACACATATTTTCATAGGTATTTTATTTATTTATTTTTATAACTTAATCGACTTTATTTTAATTTTATTTTTAAATAAACCCTTTATACAAAAAGGAAGAGTGAGGAGGGAGGGGGAAGGGGTAAAAGGAATATGTTTCCTTCCCTAAAAAATGTTACACTTCACAAAATTAAAAACAAATTTATAGATATACACTTCACAAAATTAAAAGCAAATTTATAGATATATAAAGCATATTTATTAGCAAGTTATTTTATAAGGACTTGATAGAGTTAAAATCCTAAGAATGTAACAATTATTTAAAGAAAGCAACTGTTTTACTCCTTATATTGTAACACTATTTACGAAAATCAAGAAAGTTACGTAAGATTTTCAAGTTACAAGTGAATACATTTTATAACAGAAGTAAAAAACAGTTGAAGAAAACAAGAGAATTTCTTTTCTTTAACTTACTGAGTAAATCTTAACAACTCTAGAAATGCTAAACACAAATTGAAAATTGTTTTTTTAACTTTTAATCAAAATTATAAGGTTTATTTTTGATTTTGATTTTAATTTTTTATTTTTTAATTATTCTTTTATTTATGTCTCATGTCATCATGCCAAAAATTGGAGTACGAAAATCTAGTTTTTGGATATCTGCAAAATTTATGCAAAGAAGTGCAAATTATTCTCACAATTTTTTTCAGAATGACCACAATGTCAAAGAGATATTGAGTCGAACTCACAGAATACATCAGCAATATACAAGCACAAGTTAGTTGAGATATTGAATTCGTAGCGTCAGCAAGACTAATGGCGCTGATCAAATATTGTTAAAACTCTTAAATACAGTAACTTGATTTCAAATTAAAATACTACCCACTAAACAACACTGATGATGCTTCAAGCTGTCATGGTTAGTACAATGAACTTCAACAAAAGATCACTGAAGTTGAAGACCACTATGTAAATATTTGGTGATATGGTCATGCTCTCAACTTAATTGTGAAAGAGGTGCTTAAGTTTAAATTGTTCAAACAAAAGTTGAAATAGACGAGATGAAAAGACTGAAATTGATTGGTAAAACTATCTGGTTGGATAAATCAAATGCTGCAATGATGATACTTGGAACTTGAATGTGATAAAATTATTAAATATTCATTCTCTAAATTAACAAACAGCCTAAAAAATAGTTGCTGTACTTTGTACATCACTAAGCATTTTTTCATTCATTATAAATTGATTAGTTTGTGTCTTCTGGGTATTGCTTATTTTCAGAAAGTTGCAGACTGGGCTGTTTTATATATGTATGAGGGCTCCTTATTTATTTGCCTGGCCGGTAAAATATATTTAGCCAGTCTGCCACTGATTTTAATTAAACCAAACTCATCTAACAATTTAAGCTTTAACAGCCAAAAAAGTGATCAATAAACACATGTAACAACTTACATTTTAAAATTGCCAAAATTTGAAAAAATATAATAAACTTATATTTTTTAAATAAAACAAAAAAAATTTGTTTTAGTACAAAAAAGTTCTTTTTTTCTAAAACTATATTTTTATTCTAAAATTTTTAAGTTTAAAAAAATTTATAATGTATTTGTCAGGGTTAGGGTTTAAACTTTACAAAATTTTTTACTAAGTTGTAAAGTAAACTAAAACAACTTTTATAGTTAAAATTTTTATAAAAATTTGAAAAATAATTATATACTGTCATCAAAAATAGATGTAAAATACCTTATCATTTATGCTCATATAACCAAGTGCATAACCTACAAAATTGCCTACTTTGTTGACACCAATAGGAGGTTGAAATCCTATTTCAAAATACGCATTACTTTTTCCTAAAACCGTCTAAAAATATTTAAAAATAAAAATAGAAATTTTATAACTTACACTTTTTTTATATATATTTTATTTTATTTTTAATATTATGTATACAATAAGAACTTTTACAACTTTTAAACTAAAGTGTTTGATGGAAGTTTTTATAAAACATTTTGATTGTTAGTTTAAATACAAACAAAATAACTTTATTGGTAGTTTGAAAACAAAATAAAATTTGATTGGTAGTTTAAATACAAACAAAACAACTTAATTGGTAGTTTGAAAACAAAATAAAATTTGATAGGTAGTTTAAAAATAAAACAAACAATTAAATTGGAGTTTAAAAAACAAACCATTTGTTTAGTTTTAATATTAAAAGGAAGATCACTTTGTACACCAACATGTTCTCCAATAATAACTCGAATTAAATGCTCAGACTTTAGTTCTTCAATATCATCTTTGACTGCAAGCTCTTCATTTAAAAGAGGAAATGGATTACCAATGAAAACATTCAAATCAATATATTTTTTATCAGTAGGATCAATGCAATATGTTTTCCAATCCAAACGAATGTCTGAAAATTTAAAATACATACAAGAAAAAAAAAAAAAGCAAAGTCCTAAATTAAAGCAAGTGAAGACCTAAAATAGACCAAGTGAAGACTTAAATTAAAGCAATCAAAGACCTAAAATAGAGGCAATAAACATAACTTACCAACATAACTATTATTGTTAACAAAAATCTTTCTTAAAACTTCTTTATCACCAGACATATGGCTACCAAACCTTAAAATTTCAAATTTATGTTTATTAAATTTTTATTTATAAAAAAAATCTCTTATTGTCCCTTAATTGTCTCAGTAATAAATAATATATTATCTCAGCAATAACATATTGTAACTTAAGAGACTACTCAATAACAAGGTTGCTTCACACCTGAAGTTTTTAAGCATGAAAAAAAAAAGGTTTTTAAGCATGAAAAAAAAAAGGTTTTGAAGTATGGCTTTGAAAAGGGCTCTGAAGTTTGGCTTTAAATGTAAACAATGGCTAAAGTTTAGTGTTTTATTTCAGTTAACTACTAAATATAAATTTTTTAATAAAAATTATTTTTTTTTTTTCAATAAAAAAATTTTAAAACAGCATTTGGAACATCCATAATGGTTAAAACTCTCTAAAAATTGATTGAATAACATTGACACAATATCTTCTGTTTCATTTTTTTTTTCAATCAAAATTTATAGCAATCTATAATAATAAACAATATATAAAAACACTTAAGTGCACCAATGTGCACTTTAGTGTTTTATTCCAATTAACAGAAAGATTTTTGATTTAAGTAGGGCTTTGGAGCAGCTCCGGAGCTATCTGGAGCTGGTGATTTTACATGGAGCTGTGCCGAAGCTGAAGCTAAAATATTTTCTGTCGGAAATATTTTAGCTCCAGCTCTGGAGCCAGCTCAATCGTTTGTGATATTTTAAAATATCAAATTTCCATAAAGTTATTATTTTATATAATCAGATTTTTTTAAAGAATTTAAACAACTACGTTAATTAAAATATTTATAATTTCTAAATAATGCATTTTTTCATATGGTTTAAAAAAATAACAGGAAGAAATTTTTTTTTAGAATTTAAATTTTACCCAATTATTTTGTGTCATATGTCATGTAGTTCATATTGTAGGGTATGATAAGTTACTTTAAAACAATACTTCTAAACAATGTCAACCATTGGTTATGAGATCGTCTATAAAGTACATAAGCTTTTTTATTATTTTCTCCCCCCCCCCCAATACTACATTTTGTTTTACACTTTGAGTGCCCTCTACCTCTCTAAAAGTACCTTCCCTTTTAACCTACCTACTCAACATTTTATGATATTTTTTTTAGTTTAGTGTCTCCTTACTTTCATAATTGACACCTCTCCCCAATTTGAGCGTACTTTATATACAAACCTTTATGTATGTACTTTATGGATGATCCAAAAAAATACTTTATCAAAGTGTTAAGTCACAAGATTTGTTTTAACATTTTTAATTAATTAAAATATTTTCAAAGTAGATTTAAACATGTGAGTTCCAATTAAAATTAGAAAAGATTTTAATTGTTTTATTTTTTTGATATTATTGATATTATTTTTATTTATATTATCTTTTTTATTATTTCTCTTATTTTTAAAATTTATCATTTACTTTATCTTCATAGTTTTTTACAAAAACTTCAAACTTCAAACTCAAACCTTGAGAGGTATTTTTTAATTGACTACAAAACTGGTTCCATGTAAGATTACAGAAAAGATAAATGATAACATGATTTTATGTGCTATGCAAATAAAAAAATTAAAAAATTACAATATGAAACAGCATTTGGAAAAATCATATTTATCAGAATATAAAATCCTCGAATCTGAAATGAGCCTTAAGGTACAAAGAAAACATTTTCTCACATTCACAAGATTTTAATATTAAAAAAAATTAACAGATAACTTTTTTTTAGATTTTTTTGTTAACACTAGTAGTTGAACAATAAACCAAAGTTAGTGCTAAAACTTTTAAAATTGAAATTATTAAAATGGTAGTGAAAAACAGAGTTTAATTGAAAACATTTACGGATGAAGGATTTCAGTTGGTTACAAGTCAACTAGGTAAAACTCTTGGATTCAGTACCGGACACAATTCTGTATGTAATTTGATTAATGAATTTGCTGATAAAAAAGAAAGCTGAAATAAAGGAAATATTATTACAGAAACTTATTTATGTGAAAATAGATGCAGCCACTTGACACCAAAATAACTATTCGGAAATAAAAAAATATTCAATATTATTATGCGAAAAAAAAATTTAAAAACTTTGGCGCTGATAGATACACAAGAGCAGCACAACCCTGTTGCTATCAAAAAAATGGTGGAAGATACCTTATATAGATTTGGTATCAGTAATGATCAAATAGTATGTGCAAGTGTATAAAATGCTGCCTATATGATTAGAGCAATCACAATTTTGAACAAATAAAGAAATTTTTTTTGAGATCAAGCTTTGCATGATTAAGAAAAAGTGGAATTTTTACAATAGGATACAAATGAAGAAGAAAGTGAAGGAGCTAAGAAAGAAAATCTAGCCTTATCAACCCAGAATGGTGTCAACAATTGCCTACTGAAAAAATTATTATAAGTTACTTAAAACATTAAAAAAATTTTGATTTTTTTTTGTGGAGCTGCTCCGGAGCTGGGGCCGAAATTTCTAATGGAGCCGGAGCCAATTTTTAGACCTTGGCTCGAAAGCCCTGGATTTAAAGACTTATTTAAAATTTAATCACAAATTATAACAAATTTGCTTGAAATACTGAGTAATTTAAGTTAACATTTGAACTAATTTTTTCTCTTTCTTTCTCTAATTTCTTTATTAAAAAAGATTGAACAGGAATACTTTAAATCCCAACTGTTAACTGGAATATTTATAAACTGTAAAACGCGATAAAAAACGCTTGCTAATTTAGTTACAAGAGTAAAAAATTGCGCTCATCCTAAAAATTTGGGAGGGAGAAAACTAATAATCGCTTACTTGATTTTATATTAAATTTTTTTTATAAAAAGTTTTTGTTTAAAGATTCTTGTTTAATTAAAAAAAGTTTGCTTATTGTTAAAAACAAAATAATATCTTTTCACATAATTCAATTGTGTTTTTTCAATTGAAGTAAAATGTTAAAGTTATTTCAATTTACTTTAGTAAATTGTTACTTTAGTAAAAGTAACTTCAATTAAAAAACTCTTTTTCATGTTAACTTATGCCATTGTGTTGAATAACTTATGCCATTGTGTTGAATAACTTATGCCATTGTGTTGAATAACTTATGCCATTGTGTTGAATAACTTATGCAATTGTGTTGAATAACTTATGCCATTGTGTTGAATAACTTATGCCATTGTGTTGAATAACTTATGCCATTGTGTTGAATAACTTATGCCATTGTGTTGAATAACTTATGCCATTGTGTTGAATAACTTATGCCATTGTGTTGAATAACTTATGCCATTGTGTTGAAATTAGAGAGCAATTTTCTACAAACCACCGAATGGTGATTTGTGAATGAGACTTCTTTATGTAAAAAATTTACAGCAAACATTTAACGAAATTAAATAAAATTTTATTTATTTATATAAGTTTATTGATAATATTAAATTGTCTAATAAATACAAATTAATTATGAGAAACGTTGTTAATTTAATTTTGTAAAGCATTTGCTAAAAACCATATGTATAATAATAAAAGTTTTTTATTTAACTTCGAAAAAATTATTTCTAAATGTTTTGAAGGGAATAGTTTGCTTATCGTTAAAAACAAAATAATCACTATTCACATATTTTTAATTGCATTTTGGCAGTCGAAGTAAAACATTTAAAAAACTCGTTTTCTAAATGTTAACCTAAAATGTTTTTGGCCAAAAATTAACTAAATTTAAAAAGCTTTTGTAATTAAAATTATAACTTATTATTTATAACTTAATTAAATTTATAAATTTATTTGAGAAAAAGAAAAGTTTAAGTTTGTAAAAACGTTTGCTAAAAAAGTTATTAAAATTCTATTACTGTTAGCAACGATAAAACATTAAATATGTTTTAACGAAAAGAAATTGTTATTTCATTGTTTTAATGTTTTAATGATGCGAAAACATTATGAATTTATATTTTATGCTGCTAAATAATAATTTTAAAATATTTATCGTCTAAAAAACGCTGTATAACAAATTAAAACTTAATAAAATTGTGTGGAACACCCATATCCAAAAATAAAAGATCGCTCCTGATAACTTAATGACGAGCCCACATAATCGCGCTTGCTAAAAAATATTTGAGTTTTACGAGTGCGAATCATTGCGCCGGACAATTTTCTTTATGCCAAGGGGTGCAGTATACAGATATTATATTTCAAAGTTAAGTATTATGAAGTTAAGTATTCCTATATATTATGAAAATAAAAATTTGTAAAAAACACAGTTATAGTTTTTTTAGAGGAAACTATACTTAATGTCCACCAGAAAGGTATGACTTCGTTTTTTTTGAATTTATCATGAAACATTTATAAATACTCGATGAGTCATCTACCCTTCACCTTATAGAATTAATTCTTTCTTCCGATCTTTCTTGGAAACCATATATCAAATCGATTGCAAAAATAGCATCTGCAAAGGTTGCATCTTTTTATCGTGGTCTACACTTTCTTACTCTGGAATATATTCTTTATCTCTATAAACCTCAAATCCACCTTTGTATGGAATACTGTCGCCATATCTAGGGCAAATCTTCCAATGATGCCCTTTCTCTTTTAGACAAGGTGCAAAAATGCATTGTAAACATAATTGGACCTGGTTGGAGGTTGGCTGTGAGAGTTGCCAACCTCCAACCATCTTTTAAGTCATCTGCCAATCATTATCTTGCTCTAAAAACTTCATCTTTTCTCTTCCATTAACTTTTAACTCTAATACTCTAATAGTGGTTTCTTGCAGCCTTGTTGGAAGCAAAGATAATGTAAAAAAAAAAAAAAAAAAAAAAAAAAAAAAAAAAAAAAAAAAAAATTAAACTTTGTTTTATTTGAACTATGAAATCCTTTTAAAGGTTAAACAACAGTTTCAGTTTTGTTGCTAATGCAAAGACGAACCATATTGCTTAATTAATCAATGTGGTTCACCTTTGTTCTAAATTTCAAATGCTTGGAACCTCTATACTTTAAACTAAATTGGAAGCATTAGTGGATTTATAAGTTCTGAAACTCGAATGTGATGTTAATAATACAAATAAATATGATGAAAAAAAAAAGGTATAAGTATTTAAAATGAAATAAATTAAAATTTATTCCAGACTCTTAAAAGAAACTACAAACGATAAGTTTCTTCTCATAGGACACCTCAAATAACAAGTTTCTAAGGAAATGATATCGAAAAAAAATTTTAAAATTTGGCTAAATGTAATAGAAAACATTTAGAGAAAACACAGCATCAATAAAAATAGTGTTAGAGCTGCTGGAATTTTTATGACAAATTTATTATTTTGAATGATAAATGACTTAACACATGATGTCTTTTTAAAACTTATTTTTATATGTAATTTTTTTTTGCATTTTTATTTATGTTTTGATTTTCATCAACAAAGTACCTTGTTTTATTAACAAAGTAAGTGCCTTGTTTCATCAACAAAGTAAACACCTTTTATCATCAACAATTTAAGCTTGTATATATACTTATGTATATATATATATATGTACATACATATATATACTTTTGAATATGTATGTATATATTATATGTATACAAATAATGGAAAATACATGTTATATATATTAATTTTTTAAAATCATACCTTTATTTTTATAATTTTACCTTTTTCAAAGAAAATTAATGAATGAATAAATGTTCTATAATTAAGAAAAATAATGAATGTTTTATAATTAAGGGGAGCAAAGCAACGAGGGGCTCATCAAAACAAAGTACTTGTTCTTTTTATAACTTACACAGTAATTTTTATAAAATGGTAAATTTTTAAATCTTGCTTCATCATTAAATTAAGCACCTTGTTAATGTGGTTTTATGTACTGATTATCTTTTGTAATAATGCAAAAAGATTTTATTGCTTTCATTTTTTTAAAGTTTGAAATTGAATATTCACACATCTTACCATAAAACAATTGGCAAATACTGATGATACACAAATAAAAATTTTGATTATTAAGAAACAAATTCTAATGATAGCACAAAGTGTAATATCAACAACCAAATCATTTAAATGTCTATGAAGCCATCTGTAGTTTTCCGTAGAAGCCATCCACAGTTTTTTGTCTTGATTATTAAGCAATTACTGTAGTCATAATAATGGCAAGCCAAAGTGTTTTTTGAGTTTTTTGAATATTTTACAACAACCAAATAATTTTGTTACAACCCTAACACTGTGTTTCTTTTATTTATTTTTAACTTGAGTAATTAAAAGTAATTGACTTAGTAATTAGTAATTAAAAAACTTAAAAAAACTAATTTTTTTTATTAAAAAAAAGATAAATTAAAATAAAATATATATATATATATCACATTTACTTTAAAATCTTTCTTGTACCTTAAAACAGCAGTTGTCTGACCTCTTGCCATACGAAAATCTAAAGGGTAACCTACAACATCTACATGCACAGGTACATATTGCTTTGCTATGCTGGGAACCTAACATTTATAAATTAAAATTTATAAATTAATAAAATCTATATAATACATATCCAATAAAAATAAAATATTTATGAAAAATATAAGAATAAAAAGATAATAAAAATTTCCTTTTTCCAATAAATGAGAAAATTTATAATCAAATTATTAGGTTTTGATTTTGAATCAAGCTTTTTGACTGTAAAAATATTTGAAAAATAATGAAAAATATTTTTATAATAAGAATCTTAAAACAAAATTTAAAAACTTTTTAGATTAACAGTCTTTCAAAGGAAGACGTGCGATTGCGCATCTTTATATGACCACCCAAAAAGTAATTTGTTTTTATCTGACAATTTAACCATGGCTTTTGACATATTTTCAAAAATTAAAAATGCGCTACAAAAACTTACTTAAACTTATCCAAAAAAAAACTTTAAAAAAGAAAAAAAAACTTTTATGAAAGAGAAAAAAAAAAAACAACTAACTAAAGCAAAAACACACACACACACACACACACACACACACACACATATATATATATACACATATTAAAGCGCATTTTTATAAGCATTTGCTCACTTTTGTTGCTTACCTTAACCCATACGGCTTTTTCGAAAAAGAAGAAAAAAAACAAAAAATGATGAATGAAACAATTGCTGACCCATCCCAAACCCTCAGTCGATGTAGCAGCACTCCACTGCGTATATATATATATATATATATGTATATATAAATATATAAATATATTAGGGTAGGTCGATTTTGGTATGTAAGTACGGCTAAACAATATAAAGTTGGATATTTATATGTAAGTAACGAAAATAGCAAACTTAAGTGTTTTAAATTAATTATTTTTTGCGAAACTTTGATAGAGTTAGTGGATTTGCATACTTTGTTAAAAACTTTTCACTGTTTCATAAAATTTATTTTTCTTCGTTTTTTAAAGCACGCATGTATTGTATTTTGTTTGTAAACAATATTTCACTTCGTAGTTTCCTAGTCTTTAGTAAAGCCTCTTTTAACATTTGCTTTTAACTGCTACTGCTTTTAACATTTAAAATGCCAAAAAATCAAATTTATAAGCGGGTAATAAATATTTCTTAAAATGTACTTTTTAATTCGTCCTATTTACTTTTGTAGAATGACATAATGTAGTTGAAATAGATTAAAGTGAACGATAAGCACGTTTTACTAATTGTATAAATATTGTTAACAAGTTTTTATTTTGTGCAAATTTAAATAGTTTTGTACTTTAATAAAGTGTTATTAGTTTATTGCAAATTTTTTCGTAATGATAATATGAACAAAGTATTTTGTTTTAGAAAATAAAAATGCCAAAAATAAAAAAAAGGGCCCTTTACGCGATCGAAAAGTGAAGAGAATTATGGAGGTTGCCCTTGTGATTTAGTTACAACGGATCCAAGAACATACTGACAATTAATTCAGTTTTATTAGTTCCTAGATTGTTCTGACATTGAGCCAAACTTTTGGGCAATTGTAAAGCGTGTTTCATGTGTTTTAAAATCTATATGGTCAATCCACGGTTGCCTTTAATAAACGATAAGTCTATTGAAACAAAAGTTAAAAATCTATTTGCAACTGTAAAAAACATAAATCGTAAACATTCAAAAACAAATATCAAACGAAATCTGGATTCTAAACTAGATAAACTTTTTGACATATCTGCTTGTTGCTGTTCATTGGACATTGTTTCATGTAACAATGTTTATGTAAAGTGCAAAAAAGAAAAATGCAAAACGGAACACATTATTTGCATATGCCCTAAAGAAGCAAAGGTCCCAATAGAAGAAAGAGTTTATATACGAGACCAGCGTTTAAAAACAGGACCAAAAGGTCTATATCAGATGTCTTTAGTAGATATGTCTGTTTTAAAACACAATAACAGGATTAAACAGAAGGAAGGAAATATATCACATTACAAACATATTAATAATGAGGTTTCAGGTTCATTACCAGATCCCCCAGAATGCATATTTGAAATTATAAAACCTCAGGTATTTTAATTTATATATTTAACACTTGTTAATAATAAAATCAATTATCATAAATATTTTAAATTTTTTAGTTAGGAACATGATGAATGGCAACCGAGTAAAAGAACTCAGGCAGATTATAGTATTCAAAAGTTTCCAAGATATGCTATGGAGCTGGTCAGAGGCAGATGTTCTTCAAATCTCGGCGCAGCTCTTGGAAATGCCTTACTCCATAATATCAAGCATCTATTGTTACCGGAAGTTGACATCAAAAATATTCTAATGGATAAGAGTAAATTAGACAGAGCTAAGTCAAAAGTAAAAGTAATTTCAAAAAATGCAGATTCAGAAGAAAAGACACAATTATTTTGTATTGGTTTAGATGGAAAGATAGATAAGAACACGAAAATGTACTTAAAAGCAAATAATTCTGAAGAAAAAAATTTCATAGTAAAATGTTTTGGTGCAGAGCATTACCTTACTTTTACACATGAGGATGGCAAATCTCACGGAATCTACTTGACACACAGAACAATACCCGTTCTTGGTGCAACTGGGGATGTTCTTGCACTTGAGACATTTAGTGTATTTGAAGAATATGACAGCTTGGAGAGCATCCATCTTTTAGACAATACTGCATCAAACACAGGTTGGAGGAGTGGCTTGGTGGTTAATCTAGAAGAGTTGATAGGAAGAAAACTTCACACTATAGGCTGTAGTCTTCATCAGAATGAACTCCCACTAAAAGCCCTTTTTAAAAAGTTAGATGGAAAAACAACCGGTCCACAAAATTTTAGTGGACTAATTGGGAATAGATGCTCCAAAGAAATTCATTGACAACCTCAAGTAGAGTTAGAAGCAATTGAAACTTCTATCACTGAAGGATTTATTTCAGATTAGATATTAAAAGACCTGAAAATTTTCTCTACGCAATGGTTAAAAATAATGATGAGCAGACCTCTTGGATTTAAGACAATACTCACTCTCAGAAAACAGTAAACTTTTAAAAATTAGTTTTCCTCTTTATAATTCATCAGGTATCTGTATATAAAGCTATTTTAAAAAGTGTATTGTGCTAATTAAGTTTCAATTAAGTATAATCATTTTTTTTTGTTTTTAGCAAGTTTTTTGAAAGTAACAATATTTTTATTTTCAGAAACGAAAGCAGTTATGGAATAGAAAAGAAAATTCCTCAAATAAATTGAAATGCTACAAGCTGGATATCTCTTATTGATATTGCTGATCTTGCTTATATCGAAATGGAGCCACCAGCTATAAAAGATTTTTCTGATGAAGATATTTACACATTCATTAAAAGTAAAATAAAGCCCAATATTCAAGATCTCCCCTCTCATTCCCAGAGCATTGAGAGGTGTGTCAAATTAGTTTCTGAAGCTTCTAACAAAATATATGGATTTGAAGCCAGGCATAAAACTATACTAACAAAACTACTTAGCAGAAAAATGCGTCAAAGGTTTATCTCAAAAGGACATTATTCTCAGTCGTACAATAATTTATTTGCTTAACTTGCTTGTTACATTCTTGAAATAATTGTTTTTTAGTTTATTATTGCTTTTTAAATGACTTATTAAACTAATAATGATTATTTATTGAATTTTAATTAGCATTTAATTCGATAGTCTATGTAACTCAATAAAAAAAAAATTTATACTTAAATATAAATTGGACATTTTTGCATAATAAAACGAAACGATAAACCGTATCATTAATTTAAATACAATATTTGAGTTTTTCCTTGGTGTGTCAAACTCTTTTTGAATATAATTTAATGTGAACATATTGAAAAATATGAAACCACAAGCAAAAAGTTAATATTTTTATAGGAAATGTTGATGAGGGTACTTTTAAATTTTGATCGCTAATCCGCAAGCCGCTGTTTGACTAAATACTTTCAACTTTTCATTTTTTTGTTTTACATATATAAATACACTTTTCAGTACCTTAGTCGTTACGAAATTAAAAAAAAAATTAAAAATCGACCTATCCTAATATATATACATATATATATATATATATATATATATATATATATATATATATATATATATATATATATATATATATATATATATATATATATATATATATATATTGGTACTTTTTGAGGAATCACCCCCCATCCCCTCATTTTATTTGTAGAATCGCCTAAAAAAATAATACTTAGTCTATTTAATTCACAAATCAAAAAACCATTTTATTCTTTGTTTTAACATTTATTCTTTGTTTTTTGTTTTTTTAATGTATTTCAAAAGATAAACATTTATCGTAAAAAATACATAATTAGATAAGTAAAAAAAAGACAACAGTTAATATTTCTTATAAAAATTTATTAGAAGTGTTTTGTTACTTTTTTAAAAAGCGTTTCGCTAATTTAAAAATATTTTATAAAAGTTTTGATGTAATTTATTTCATATAAGGTAAAACTCAGAATATTTTTCATTCAGCGCATTTTTAAAATGTTTTTTGAAAAAGTCGCGGTCAAATTGTCAAAGCAAAATATAATTTGCCTGGTCATATAAAGACATGCGATCGCACGTCTTCCTGTAAAAGACTGGATTTAAAAAAAAAAATAAATAAAATCATTAACTCATACTTATATTTAATTTTTAAAATATTTGAGTTATTTAAATTTAACTACCTAATAATATCACTCACATCAATAGCAATAATATCATTGTAATCACCCCACATATCTGACATCATCAACACAGTAATTAGTTTTTTCTCGAAAGCTTCAAGGATTCCAACATTAGGAGAAATTATAAAAACAACACCTTTCTTATTCGCCAATGCTTCATTACAAATGTCTAGACAAAGTTATTTAAAACATGGTAAAGTTGCATGAAATTGATTTATTTATTTTGAACTTAACATAAACTAAGATAATATGTGAACTTATTATGAGCTATCCTGCCAAAAAATAACAGCACTCAATTGACTTTTCATACTTTCCAACTGTACAACAGGAGATAATACCTTAGCTAACCTGTATTAAAAAACACAAGTTGGACTTTTCATATTGCCCTAACCAACAGGCTGCAGTAGTAGCCAAGTGGACACAATAAAACACAAGTTAGACTTTTTAAATTGTTCTATCAAACAGGCCACAGTAGTGGTCAATGGTCACTTTAGTAAATAATATTTGCAGTAGTAGCAGTAGCTGCACTTTAGCAACCTTACTTAATATTAAATTTACTTTTAAAACTGAGATGGATATAAAACTAAAAAAGAAAACAACTTACTAATAATAACAATTGTCATACAATAATAATAAAAAATTTATTTATGAATCAACTTTATATACACTAAAAATTTAATAATGGAAAATGTAATAACAATATTATATACTGCCTTGCGACCCTAGATGCATTTGCCATAAGCAGGGGTCTAAAGAAGTGTCAGACATTAGCGCCCCCAGACTGTTTTTGAGACCTGATTTATGGGGACAACCAAACATTGTTCATTTTTACTGAAAAAAATGAAAAAATCATTTGTTGCCCTCCTTTAGAAGGTCTCAAGAATAGTCCAAGGAGCGGCAATGTCCAACACTTATTTTGGCTGTTAGGCAAATCTAGGTAAATGCCTAGGGGCGCCAACTAAAAAAGAACACTTAATTATTTACTTTCTCTGAAAAAAACTGTCAGACACTTTTTTTTTTATCACATAACCAGAACTAGTTTTGGATTTATTTAAACTATCCATATGATAAGTTTAAAACTATTCATATGATTAGTTTAAAATAAACAATGAAGATTTCAAGCAACGATAGGTATAGAGTGTCTCAAAGCGAACAAAACTTTAGTGCTAAAAAGTCACGTTACAAAAATTAATTGTCAATATTTTGATTTTTATTAAATCAATAAATTAACAAAAACAACAGATAATTAGTTTCTACAGTAGATATGTATTGTTTTAATATAGATATGTATTGTTTTACTGTAGATATGTATTGTTTTACTGTAGATATGTATTGTTTTACTGTAGATATGTAGGGTAAACTGGGGTAAAGTGAACTAGGGGTAAAGTGAACTATTTTTTAAATTAAAAAGTTATCATGTTTAAAAAACATTTTGTTAAGTAATTTAGCATTATTTTTGCTTAATACAACATTTTAAAATTTTTAAATAAAAAAATTAATAAAATATAGCCTTTGTTTTGATGTAATAGCCATTTTAAAAAGCGAGTTTGGCGGAAGTTTTAAAATTACTATCTCAAACTTTGCGATAGGTTTTAGTAAATTCATGATTTGTTGTTATTAATGTGAATATCAGTTATATAATTTATATACATTTTAAAGATAATATAATGCTGCTTAAAAAAAGTTGTAGTTTTTATCATAATATAAAAAAGTTAAGCTTTTAGTTTGTAAATCAATTTAGTTCACTTTACCCCTTGTTTTTCTGCTTATTGGGGGTAAAGTGAACTAGTCTTTTTGTTATGTTTTTCCATCAAATATTTTTAGTAGAACATATACAGTACAGTATTTTAGTAGAATATATACATCGTAATTACTTAACTAAATTGTTTACTCTTAAACTAAGTCTTTTTTTTTTAAATATTCTTAAAATTATTTTCAGAAATATAATATATTGAAATAATGCCAAGAAACTATATTAAGAAAAAAGAATCTTGAAGAAAAACATATGCACCTAATTTGTTGCAAAATGCCATTTTGAAAGTTAAAAATAAAGAAATGTCTTTGTATGCTGCATCAAAAAAATATGGTTTTCCAAAAAGTACAATTGCAAGACATCTTCTAAGCATAAAATGCTCAAAAGTTGGTGAAGGGCAACCAAACCGATTATCTGCTGATGCTGAAAAAGATCTTGTTTCACTTTTATCTGGATTTTCTGATTTTGGATTTGGATTAGATAAAAAACAATTTATGAAACTTGTTCAAATGTATATTGAAATAAATGGATTTCAGAAAAATTTGTGAATGGTGTTGCTGGTGATTAGTGGTTTTGTAATTATTTAAATCGTTGGCAGAAAGAAATATCTAAAAGAACTCCAGAGCTTTTGACATTACCAAGAGCCTATGCTTGTAACAAAACTGTAATTGATGCTTAGTTTTCATTACTTAAAGCTACATTGGAAAAATGTGACATTATGAATCGATCTGTCCAAATACTAAACTGCGATGAAAGTGGGTTTTGCACTAACTCAATAAATAAAAAAATTATTTGCAAAAGAGGTATTAAAAACCCTGTAACTATTGCTCCTGGATTAGGAAAAGAGCAGTTTACTGTACTTGCAACAATATCAGCTGCAGGAAGAAATTTTCTTTTATTTACTTTATTTGGTGGTAAGAATTTGTATAAAGAGTGGATGACTGGTGGACCAAAGGGTTCCTTATATGGGGTGACAAAAAATGGTTAGATGGAAACAGAAGTTTTCACTAAATACTTTAACCATCTTGTTTTATGGTTGAAAGACACACCCAAGCCTGTTTTGCTTATCTTTGATGGTCACATGAGTCATATTTCTTTAGAAACTGTTAAAAAAGCTGTTGAAAATCATATAACTATTTTGTGTTTGCTAACACACTGTTCGCATTTGCTTTAGCCACTTGATGTAGGAGTCTTTTGCCAAGTTAAACATGTATGGCATGAAATTCTGGCCAATTGGTATACCGAGTCAAGTCTGAAGGTGGTTGGGAAATCTGTTTTTCCATCTTTATTAAAAAAACTTTATGATACCTCCTTTAAGCCAGCTCATTTAGTACAATCGTTTGCCAAAACTGGAATTTTTCCCTTTAATCCATCTGCTATAGCATCTGACAAGTTAAATCCTTCTGAAATCTATGAACACCCTTTTTCTCGGAAAACAAATAATTATAATATTAACGTCCCTCAAAACATCATTTTAGTCACCAATCTTAATGATCAGAGCGATACTTGCGAAATTTCTTTTATTGAATCAACAAATAAATACAATGCACAAAAAACTATAATATCAGTAGGAAAAGACTTAAACAATAAAAAAATAAATCAACTATCAATATCAAACGATTGTTTTACTGGAAAATCATAAGAGAAATAGTGAAAGCACAGTTAATGGCCACACGTTCATACTACAAACGACCTACAAAAAAAAATAAAAAGACGTTATGGAGGTGAGTGTCTTACATTAGAAGATGCATTTAAAAGATTAAACGATGAAGAAAATGAATGCTTTAAAATAAAGATCAAGCAGCAAGGCAAAATACAAAATAAAAAAACTAATTTATCAGAAATAACAAACACAAAAGAGTTAAAGATGAAGTAGTTCACTTTACCCCAATGTGGAGGTAAAGTGAACTAGTGGACATGTTTTTTTTGAATATATATTTAATATTGTAATAATAATTTTTAATCTTAGTATTTTGTTTTATATTGTACCTAATACTTTAAATGGTATAAATTTTGAAAACTGCAAAATGTTTTGGCTTTTATTTTAAAAATATTTCCTTTAAATATCAAAAACAGTTCACTTTACCCAGTTTACCTTATTGTTTTACTGTAGATATGTATTGTTCTACTGTAGATATGGTTTGTTTTAACTTCTATTAAGAATAGAAGAGCAACAACTATTTATATGCCTGAAAGCGCTGTAGCCACAAATGCAGCATTGCCTGTCACCTTCTATTATCACCCTCTACCGCCAAATTTATATATATATATATATATATATATATATATATATATATATATATATATATATATATATATATATATATATATATATATATATATATATATATATATTAGACTGGTTCTTAAAACAACTTTTTTTATAAATGACTGCTGGCACCCTCTGAATTTGTTGTATATAATAAAAAAATTCTGGATTTAAAAATTTTTTGAATAAAAATTATTTTAAGGGGTTGCTACCGACCTTCAAACATTAAATAGGTACCTAACATTATTATATTTTTTTTTTTCAAAAGTAGGTCTCAAACAAGGTAAAAATATATCAAAATTTCAAAAATAATATTCATTTTATAAAAAAACATTGATAAAAAAAATCATAATAAAAAAATCTTCTTAATCTTCTCTATTAATCGTTTTTAGTTAAAAAATGTAATTTTCTGTTCACTAAAATCTAAAATAAAAAATTAATTATAAAATGATTAATATTTTTGAAATTTTTATATAATTTCGCTTCGTTTGAGACCCAACATGACATACTTTTAAGAACTTTTTTTTTTATAATATTAGGGACCTATTTAATGTTCGAAGATCAGTAGCAACCCCTTAAAATATATTTTACTAAAAAAATTATTAAGTTCAGCATTTTTTTGTTATATACAGCATATTCAGGTTGTGCCAGCATTCATTTTCAAAATAAAACTGTTTTTAGAACCACCCTAATATATATATATATATATATATATATATATATATATATATATATATATATATATATATATATATATATATATATATATATATATATATCATGGATAAAAAGTTGTAAAGGAAGGAAAGGCTTAAAAATATTTTGAGCTGTTTACCCAAATCAAATAAAAGAATAGCAAGCCATTTTTTATAAAACTTTATCAAAGTCAATTCTCATACTACTTATTTTTAATAATCTCTGATGAAGAAATTAAAATTTGTAAAAATCATCAAGCAAAAAAAAAAAAAAAAAACATGCTGAAAAAAAATGCTAAAAGCAAAAATTAAAAAAACATGCTAAAAATGTGATTGTTTATAAAAGCAATAATGTTTGCAAAAATAATACCATTCATCGTCAGGAGCACTTTAACAAGAAGCATATCATTTATAATATGAAACAAACTGTCTGAATCGTATGGAAATATATTTAGAAATGAAATTCCCAAAAGAACAATTAAAATATTAAATAAGAACAAATTAAGGGACCAAGTTTACAGATTTTCTTTTACTAAAATGTTTTTTTAATTTTTGAAAGGATGATATGATACAATCTCTTTAATGAACAGTGAAGAGAACATTTTAATTTTCAACCTTAAATATGTTCAATTTATAAATAAAATATCTTGTTGCACAATAATACCTTGATTTATTTCAATTTTAGTTGCATCAACTTTATGTGTTTTCAACAAAGCATTTATTTGGCTAAAATAAAAATGTTAATTTGTGAATGCTACTTGAATTAAGATAAACAAGTATTGTAAGGTTTGATCAGGTGGATCATACTGATTTTACTACCTAGTTACTAGTTATTTTAAATAATCATGAAAACAATAAAATGAACATAATAAATTTGAAAGTGTACTTCATTAGTACATGCTACACTTTCATTAAACAAAAATTTGGTTTCTAAAAACATAAACATTTATAAAAACTGATCCTGGTCAAATCAACTCCTGGACACACTTCTCCTGGCCAATTAGTAACTTAAGCAAAGAAAAAAGTGAAAACTAAAATTACACGATAAAAAACTTTTTTTTTACCTCTGTTGTGATTCTAAAAATAATAAACAAAAAATCAGTTTAACAAAATACTCAAAAATAAATTTAGCAAAAATTACAGTTTTAGGTCAACAATTATAAGTAAATTTTATTACATAACAACCACATACATACACGACTCAGCAAAATCATTTGTTTATCCAATATCACACACATACATAACACAAATATCAATAAAATATGTATATAATGCATCAATCATCATATACTTAAAAAAATGTCAACTACTACATACATACACAACAACCATTACATACATACACAACAACCACTATTTACATACACATCAACCACTACATACATACATATCAACCACTATATACATACACAACAACCACTACATACATACACGCCAACCCCTATATACATACACGTCAACTACTACATACATACATTATGCCTTTATCTATTACATTCTTATAAAATAGATTTATAGTCAATACACAAAATTCATCACATAACACAAAGTTCACCACATAACCACACAAAGTTCATCATATAATCACACAAAGTTCACCACATAACCACCCAAAATTCATCACACAACCACACAAGGTTCACTAGAGATTAGAATAAAACAAAGCATACCAAAAATTTCAGTAGGATAGTAATTCTCTGCTTGCATACTAAATGTTGTTTTGATGGCTGACTTATTTTCTAAAATAAAATATGATTTTCGAACCTCTCCAAGGGGTACATTCATTCCAAAATCCAATTTACTTGAATCATGAACATTGTCTAAATCACTAAAAATTAAAATTTAGATTTTTTTACAATTGGTAATTGATAAATTTATACGTACAAAATTAAATCTATCAAATACCAAAATATAACAGATTAAACTTGAGGAACTATTTAAAGTAAAATTAGAATTTTGTATCAAGGCCCCCCATGGTTTACCTTTATACTAATTATGAACATCATTAAAGAAGTAAACAAAAAGTAAAAAAAGAGAAATGGCAGATTTTTACTCAAAAGCCAAATAAATTATTTTTATTTATTTAGTATTTATAAACCAAATAATGCATCCAACAGCTGTATCGCATTTCAGATTTCCAGATAATATATCCTTTAAATGTCATTCTTAGGCGTCAATAAACAATGGCTTTGTATCGAAATTGAATATCCTAATATTATATTTACAAAAACCTTTTAAAAATTGACTTTTTAGAACTGTTTATAAAACAATGGAGTACTATTTTACATTTATAGGGCCCTCCACAAACGCTGGATCAAGTTACTTCATACTTGTAAAAGAAAACATCCAAGCCCTTACAGACTTTTTTATCTAATTTTTTAGCCTCCTCTCTATGTGTTTTTGCTTGATTCCATTCATTACAAAAAACACTTAGAGTGGAGACTAAAAAAATTGATAAAAAAGTCTGTAAAACCTTGGAGATCAAAAACATCAATGTTCTCCAATGTACAGTAGTATAAAATTAGACAATGAACAATATATTAAAACAAATTTTCAGTCTTCATTTTTTTCATATTTATGAAAGAAAAACCAATATAAAGCTGACATCAAACTTAAAAATTTTTTTTTTTTAATGGTCACAATTTTTGAAATTATATTATATGTTGATAATGTCGGTGTTAATAATCCAGCGAAAAATTTCAAACAAATTATTTACTATCAAGACAATTTGTATTATTTGATGTTTTAAAGTTTTAAAACATCAATTAAATTCTTTTTCTAAAAAATTGTTTGAACAATCAAGCACATTTAAAAAATTCCTTGGAATATATTAGTATAATACAGACAATTAAACAGTAGTAAGTAATCAACAACCACTGTAAGTAAGTCGTAATCAATAGTTCTTGTTAAACATACATCTTAATAAACTTTACACTTTTTTACTTACCTTTGTAGATCTTTAATATGAGGAACTAAAACATCAACTTGTAATCCCTTTACTGAAACAGATATATTAACAACCACAGGGTCCAACATATCTGGTACATTGCAAAACAACATTATTTCATGTTCTCCCTAGAAGATTGTTTTGAAACAAAACTTAAATATGCATATAACTAATATATATATATATATATATATATATATATATATATATATATATATATATATATATATATATATATATATATATATATATATATATATATATATATATATATATATATATATATATATATATATATATATCTATGTATGTATGTATGTATGTATGTATGTATGTATGTATGTATGTATGTATGTATGTATGTATGTAATAAAAAATATTTTGAGAATATAAAGATAACAGTTAAAGAGTAACATTTAACTTGAGCAGGATAAAAAAGTTTCTTTGTGTAGAATCCTCGTTCGTTGTTTTAGTGTTTGTTAGAGTTACAAGTTAAGAAAAAGTTAACAAAAAAATTTTCAATTCAAAGATATTTTTGCACTGAATTACCAAACATAAGCATGATAGTTTATTATTATTATAACTATTGCAAAACCCAATCAGTCACTCAGGAAATATCATTATCTTAATCTGCAGTCTGTTCTAAGCAATTCAAAAATGTTGACATTTTATTAACCTAAGTTGTATGATTATCTAAATTTGTGTATTAAGGAAGGATTAAGATCAAGACTACTAGAATAAAGACTAAACTAAAATCAAGACTACTAGAACAAAGACTAAACTAAAATCAAGACTACTAGAATAAAGACTAAACTAAAATCAAGACTACTAGAATAAAGACTAAACTAAAATCAAGACTACTAGAATAAAGACTAAACTAAAATCAAGACTACTAGAATAAAGACTAAACTAAAATCAAGACTACTAGAATAAAGACTAAACTAAAATCAAGACTACTAGAATAAAGACTAAACTAAAATCAAGACTACTAGAATAAAGACTAAACTAAAATCAAGACTACTAGAATAAAGACTAAACTAAAATCAAGACTACTAGAATAAAGACTAAACTAGGATCAAGACTACTAGAATTAAGACTAAACTAAAATCAAGACTACTAGAATAAAGACTAAACTAAAATCAAGACTACTAGAATAAAGACTAAACTAAAATCAAGACTACTAGAATAAAGACTAAACTAAAATCAAGACTACTAGAATAAAGACTAAACTAAAATCAAGACTACTAGAATTAAGACTAAACTAAAATCAAGACTACTAGAATAAAGACTAAACTAAAATCAAGACTACTAGAATAAAGACTAAACTAAAATCAAGACTACTAGAATAAAGACTAAACTAGGATCAAGACTACTAGAATTAAGACTAAACTAGGATGTTAAAGTAGTATCAACATGCTTAGCAAGAAACCAATTTGAAATAAAACATTTAAGATAAATGAATCTTTTTATTAGGTATCATTACAAATGATTTTAGTAGTTAATTATATGTTGTTCAAAAAAATTAGGCTATGCCATGACCCAAGAAAAATTTTTAAGGGAATGATAGTACTATTATTGGTTGTCACTTGGATCTGAATCCCAGATCTAAAAGATAATAAAGTGCTCCAGGTACTTGCTCTAAATAAATTCAAAAGAGCTATTGTGGTCTCGGATTAATTATGAAATATGGTGGATAACAGCATAAAATTTTAGAATGGAATCCTGAAGTTTTAAATAGGAGACCCTAAACTAGTATTTTTTTTCATCATTGAACTTTAATTATGTGTCAATAAAGAAAACATCTGGAAAAACGAAACATTGCAAGGCTAATCTCACCAAGACATCCACATTCAATAATTTAATAGCTTTATGTACTCATTTCCAGCAAGTTATCTACCATAAAATAACCACTGATTGTTTATAAAAAAAAAAGCTAGTCATTCAAAAATATTTGTAAATCTTGGAGAGAAATTGTAGGAGATGATTTACAACTGCAAGCAACAGATGGAGCTCCATTACTTGAAGCACATCAAGGACAAAAAATTTATCAGAGATATTGATGATTAAACTGAATTCTAGAATGCACTTGGCTTCATGATGTTTGCACCAACCATACTAAACACTTTTAAATCTCTCCTGATCAAAATACCTAAGAGATCCAAACTTTGCAAAAACTCTTCATGCTTTGACATTCTACTAAATTCTTTTGCAAAGTTGACTTGTGAGTAAAGATCACACTTTGGAAGAACGTTTGAGATTACCTTTATTTATAACCTTTATTTATTTGTGTTTTGTTTGCCTCAGGTTCTTGGGTTGGTAAGACTGGATGTGAAAATTTGTGTTTTGAATTGAGAATTGAGCAAACTAAACAATATTAAATAGAACCTATTTATAATAGGACAAACATTAACAGTTGATAAGTCAAAAACCAAAAAACTCAAAAAATTTTTAAAATCCTCTAGCAATAATTATGCTTAATAGAAAATAAATGTGATAAAAAATGAAATAAATAAAAAATAATAAGTTTTTTAATACTTCTCTCTCCTCCCCATATATATATATATATATATATATATATATATATATATATATATATATATATATATATATATATATATATTTATATAAGTATATATAAATTATGTTTTTTATGTTTTTATGCAAAATTTGTAATCAGATTTTATCCTTGAAAACAGTGTAATTTTGGACTTATATTCCAGTAAATAATAATATTAGTAAGATTATAGTAATATCATTCCCATAAAAGGATTTTTAATGGTCATGATGTCAGTGGTCATGGTAACAAGTACTTTCACTTTTTGGGTCAATAGTGATTAGTATTATGTCAATATCTTAAATTTTATTTGAAGAAATTTTTAGCAATTAATAAGATTTTAAAAATCACAAAGAAACAGTTTAAGATAAAAAACTGATGTTAAAAAACTGATGTTAAAGTTACTTCTTAGTTATCAAAAGCTTACATATCAGAAGATTTTAAGATATAAATATGAAATGTATTTACAGTTTGCAAGCATATGATTGTTACAGCAACACTAGCTTCTTCATAAGATGCTAGTTCTCCAACCCTTGGTTTAAAAATAACATCTACTCCATGAGTTTTTATAAAATTCTAAAACAAAAAAGCTGCAACAAAATAAATTTTGTTAATTTAAACAAGCAAATAAAATACTTACAAGTTCAAATCAAAATACTACAGTTAAAAGTAATATATAAAAATATTATTAAAAAAACATTTTATGGCTAAAAAACAGGTTTTAGAAATAAATACCCATTCATAAGATGAAGTTAAAAAAGTGGAGTTAACAATGGTAACAATTGTCTGAGTTGGAACACCAACAAACAATGTGTCCAAAACCATTAAGCATTGATTGGTGTAGATGTACGGTCTTTGAACATGTGCTTGTATTGGAAGATAACTAAAAATAAACAAGAAATTTCGATCATACTTTAGAGCATTATAAGCAATAAAAACATTTTAAAAAGAACTAAAACAAAACTTTAAATAAGCATTAAAAATAAAATTACCATGGTAAACCATTATTAACATTGCAACTAATATATGAATCAATAAAAGATGCAAATTGAGGAGATAAATGAAAAGCAATTTTTTGCTTTCCGTTAGGTTTAATTTTCCCTTCTTCAGGAAAAAATGCTAAAGGCAGATCTTCATCCTAATAAATATAGAAATAAATAAAAAAATTCTACACAATGCATTACCTAATCATATTTTTCATAACTTTATCTACAACCACTTTCGTTACCCCAATGGTATTACCAACACCCTACTCCACCCCATCCTCCTTCTCCATTTAATAGTATTGCTAATCTCATATCCCCTTCTTCTTTTAATAAGATTTTTAATCTCATAACCCCCTTCTTTTTTTTTAATAATATAATTAAATTCATATTCCCTTCTTGTTTTAAAAATTTTATTACACTAATTGTAATAAATTATTAAAACTAATAGTAATTTTAATGTTACATTTAGCATTATTAAAAGTAACAATAATTTGTTACTTTTAATAATACTAAATTGTTAATTTCAATATTATTACACTTATGTTAAATTTTTTAAATAATTTCAGAGGAATTATTACCATTAATATTCTAAAATTATTAAATCAATTATTATCATAATATTTTAAAAATGTTATAAATATTCTGAAATTATTATTAAGCTATAAATACACTGAAACTATGATTAGTATAAATATTTTGAACTACTGTTATGTGATAAATATCATGAAATTCTTGTTGCATTAAAATATCAAACAATATAACATAATAGTAATAAAACTTTATTTCAATTGCATTTATCTCAATTGCCACAACTGTCAGGTACCTTAATTATCATTTTTGCAAACATATTTGTGCACAAAGCTAGAGAAAATATAATTAAAAAAGTCAACTAAGGTAAAATATAAACTAAAGTGAACTAAGTAAAATAAAAAAATCTTTTTATTGTTGCCAAACTTAATAATTTTCTAAAAATTGCAGAAAGGAGAAAAAATATTTTTTAAAACTATTAAAAAAAAAAAGTAAAATAATTTATATTTTTAATTACTCTTATTTAATAATAAAACCAAAAATTATTGTTTATTCATTAAACAATAAGTATAAATTTTTATTTTGTTTTTTTCATTTTTTACTATTCAAATATATAAATTTTATTGAATAAAAACATACAACATAGTTTCTTAGATTTTATATTATTCATATATATATAGTTGAATAAAAACATACTACGATGTTTTTTATATTTTATACTATTTAAATATATAAATATTGTTGAATAAAAATATACACTTTGTTTCTTGTATTTTATACTATTCAAATATACTTTGTTAAAATAAAAACATACCACTTTAATTAACTTCCATTCAGCAGGAATAGGTGAATAATTTATCAGAGTGGCACATTTATTAATGTAGGTTCCAATCCTCAAAAGTTCAAAATCTAAGAAATCTTCAACAAATGAAACGCTCGGCCCCTTTAAAAGACAAACAACATTTAATTTATTCAAAAAAAGTTTGAATTAAAAAACTTATTCAACATTTTTACTGAGTCCTGTACTTTATGACTTCTTGGATTATCTTTCACTACTGACCCCAGCCCCAGCTTTATTTTATCAAACCTGGCCCCGACCCAGGTCAAATATCAACCCTAGTTGCTTACTACCATGGACATAACTAAGTGCTAAAATTAATCTAATGACAAAAAAACAAGTCGATCTAATTGCTGTCACAAGCACGTTGAAAATATAAAATTGATGAACTAAAAGATTCTGGCTTTATGACTTTGGTTTTCACACAAGATCATATTGCTGTGGTAATAAAATCCTAAAACTCATGAAGTACCTAAGTAAAGTTTTTAAATGATAGCCAATTTTTGTTTAGCTGACTCCATCAAGACATCAAAAAAGTCAAAATTACTAGATGCTCTCAATAAATAATAAAACTCTAACCCTAACCCTGACCTATTAACTTGTTTCTGACTCTAGTCAGTACTCAGTTTCTTCACATTCACCCGTAGGTGCTTCTGATCATGGCTTGATCTCTCTAAAACTATTATCTCATTTTTCTTCTTTGTCAGAATCCCCCTATCATTGTACCTCATACAACTACCTTAAAGCTGACTGGGACTCTTTCTGTGACTTTCTTTGTGATGGCCCTTGGGTAGAAATCTTTTGTCTTCCTGCTGACAAATGTGCTTCTTACATATCTTCGTAGATTCAGGCTGGCATGGAATCTTTTATTCGGTCTTGACAATTCCAGGTCAAGCCTCACTCTTCTCCATGGTTTTCCTCACATTGTGCTGCGAGGAAAACCATTTTGAATCTTTAATTAACAAACTTAGTCTCTCCTCTTGAATCTAATAACTTACTTTCTGATCATCAATACCGATTTCGATCTTCTCGTTCTACAGCTGATTTGCTAACAGTAATAAACAATAGGTTTTATCGTGCATTAGATAAAGGTGGAGAGATTAAGGCTATTGATATTTTTAAAGCTTTTGATAAAGTTTGGCATGCTGGTCTTCTCCATAAACTTTCTTCTAACAATATATCTGGTAACATCTTTAAGATTATTGAGTCCTTCCTTTTCTTTCATAGTATAAAAGTTGTCCTCAATGGACAGCACTCTTCTTGATATCCTGTAACTTCAGGGGTTCCCCAAGGTTCAATCCTTGGCCATATACTCCTTTTAATTTACATTAAAGAACTTGTCATTCAATTAATTCTCATCTTTTCTGTGACTGTTCCTAAGTTCTCCAAAAACTCTTATTTGTCTAATTTTTTTCTTCGAACATCAGTTCTTTGGAATTTGCTTCCTTCATCTTGCTTTCCTGATTCATATAATTTGCAATCTTTTAAGTTGTCTGTCAATCATTATCTTGCATAAACTTCATCTTTTCTCTTCCAGTAACTTCCAACTCTTACAGTGGTTGCTTGCAGCCTTGTTGGAAGCGAAGATGTAAAAAAAAAAAAAAAAAAAAAAAAAAAAAAGATTTGTCACCAAAGTTTTTCACCATTGAAACAACAAATTTTTTGGCCAACTTAAAGAACTCTTTGCTTTGAAGCAATGTTATCAAATTATTCTTTTTCAGATAATGCAGTTCTTTATAGAACTGCATTATCTGAAAAAGAATACACCATGTAGCAGATTATAAGTTAAAGAAGATATATACGCCATGTAGCAGATTATAAGTTAAAGAAGATATATACGCCATGTAGCAGATTATAAGTTAAAGAAGATCTTTCAACACTTTACAGACTTCAACACTTTACAGCTTCTGCATTTTTCAAGAACATACGGTTTTGCAATAACTTCAAGCAACTTTATTATTATTTCCATTACATTAATGTATAGAAATGGAACCATTGGATAGTCTGTTTTATTATCCATAATATGGATAATAAAAATGGATAGTTTATTTAGAAAAGGTTCCAACATATTTTAAATTTCTTGCAAAGAAATGTAACTTAGAAAACATTAAGTGATCTTTTTAATGTTGCCTAGCTTTAATTCATTCTTCTCTCAATACTTTGGTATCAGCTAGCAAGTCAGATGTTTTACAATGAATGTTGTCTGTCTTACTATAATTGCCAGTAACTGAATTTTATGTGAAAAAATTGTCCTGAATATTATGTAAAAAATTGAATATTTTGTAAAAAATTGATTGTCTCAAGAATGTGATTTAATGTTTTCCATGGAGCTAGTACAGTAAAAGTAAATACCTTTTTGAGCAAAAGTTAAACAAAAAGATAAACAAAAGAACGAGTAACAGAGTTAAAGTCATCTCTTCTTGCACGATTATCATGTAAAATTAAATAAACAGCATTCAAAACTTTTTTAGATTCCATTCTGTGACAGCCTCTCCAGTTTTTGAACTGCCATGGGGAATGTGCAAACTGCAAGTTCCGATGTTAATAAGAAAATGTAATATAGTCTTAATCTGAATTCATCGAAAAATTTTATATTGACATTTGGACCATCTATTTATATTTGGTATAGCTTTGTTACTTCCAATAAGTCCTAATGTATTGATTAACCTAAGAAACTTGATCCAAAATAACCAATATTTACATGGTTTCTACAAACATCCCAGAATCTAATATAAAATTCATTTCAGAAGTCTGGGTATATAGATATGGATGTGAACTGTGATTTAACTAGTACAACACTCTGAAACTGTAAAGCTTTGACACTTGTCTGGAAACATAACTGTAAAAATATAGCTCAAGTCATCTTTTAAACATATAGAAAATCCACTATCCACATTCCACTATCCATATTCTAAAGCTACCAGATAACTTTAGTCTTTGTAACATTTCTTTTGTGCATCAAAAAACAGTAGTTTTTTTTACACGCAAGTCTAATGTCTTTTGTTTTTTTTACACACAAGTCTAATGCCTTTTGTTTTTCTGTAATTCACTCATTAGAGTCAGAAAAGACAGATGGTAAAATATTTTTTCTCTAATGGTTTTGCAAAGAAACCTTTCACTTTTCTTAACTCTATACTGTGCTTTGCTCCTTTTGCGTGGCAAAAAGAGCAAAGCACAATATAGAATTAAGAAAAGTGAAAGAAAGAAAACAGCAAATTTAAATAAAACAACTTTCCAGTTTTTCCAGCATCAATGTTGCCCAAAGCATTTTTCAGTTTCTCCAGCATGTTTTTTAAAAACAGCTTTTTTTCCAGTTTTTCCAGCAGAGTGGAAACCCTGATATACATATATATTTATGTATATATTAAATATATATTGTGTTTTTAAATAAGAAAATAGTGGAAAATAATAAATAATAAGTGTTTTTACTGAAAAAAAAATTTACATATATTTATATATAAGAAAATGTTAAAACATATGTACAAACATGAAAGGTTCCTTCAACTCGTAAATATTGATCAGCCATTGAAAATGGAACTTCATATTTTATATCACATTTTATGTTTGATGGGATAATTCCTTCAATAGATACAAAACACTCAACACTCTCATTACTACCTAAAAGTATTTTAAAAATTTCGTTTAAAACAATTTTATTTCATTGGAATATTTCAAATAGTTATATGTTTACCTATATCTTGTTTTTCTGGTAACACATTGATAATACATTCTTTTGAGACAAATTTCTTCCACTGGAATGATGTTTTACACAGACTCAAGTTTTTCAACTTAAAAACAAGAAAAAGTCACAGAAACATTAAAAACAATTTTAAAAACTAATGTGAATAGTCAAATGAAAAGTAACCTAAATCATTTATGGCAGTGATCATAAATTTAAAGACGGTTTCTAATGCTTTAAAAATTTTAAATAACAATAAAAATACTTTAATTACTTACAACTTTTGAACTATTTAAATGCAAAACCTTTTAACACCAATAAAATTGAATTTTAATGATTTTATTAAATTTATTTATTTTTATTAAATTATTGTATATTTATATTTACTCAAAACATTGTTTAGATCTAGAAAACTTGAAAAAAAAAAGAGATTTTTAAATAAAAAACTAATAAATATAAAAAGTTAAAGTTGATAAAAAAATTATTTTAATACATTTCAGAATTTTTTAAATTATGCACGTCACTTTTTATTTTGTCAAGTAGTGTGTGAGATGCCATTGGAACTTTAATTGGAATGTTCCATTTAATGGAACGCAATTTTAAAATATTTAGTAACAACCATAAACCTTAACAATAATATTTAGTGATTTTTAATAAATTAAGAAAACATCATAACAGTTGAAACTTTTATACATAATATGTTTTCATAGTTAAGATATCTTTGGTTAACAATTTGTTCTTATTAAGGCAGCTCTCCCCTATACTCTAAAAATATGTTAAAAATCATATATATATATATATATATATATATATATATATATATATATATATATATATATATATATATATATATATATACATATATATATATATATATATATATATATATATATATATATATATATATATATATATATATATATATATATATATATATATAAATTATTATTAATTATCATATATATTTATTATGATATATAAAATGAATTGAAAAAAAAACCTTGATGGTTTGCTTGTAGTTTACTCCAATGAATAATTTTCCAGAAAAAATTATTAATGGTGGTTCTGGTAATACTGTCACAGTCTAAATTTAACAAAATTATATTTGATAATAAAAAATAAAAATAATTATTAATAATAACCTAATAATTTTTTGTAACAACAAAAAACTTACAAAATATTAAAACTTTTTAAAAAATCTCAATAAATCTGTGCTGGTAACTCGTATCAAACAAAATAATTTTAAAGAGTGGAATACCTTATAATAAGAGACTGTCTTACGCCCCATTTTGTTTTGGTTTTTATAAATGATGTAACCTTGTGTATTGGTTGTGATTGAGATATTAAGCTGGTTTGTGGACCACAGCAAATTTTATCAAGCAAGAGACAATAGAAACAACACACACCTCATTAAAACCTTAAAATTTTCATAATGTTTAATATTTGGGAATTTAATATAGCATTCAAAAATGTTTTCACCTACATTCTGTGGTAACAGTCTTTTACCATTACATTAATACTCAATGAACATATCTATTAAATCTATTCCACATACTGGTATGGTTGTGTCTTCGGATATAAGGTTTTACAATAACTGGTTTTTTATTGAAAGTTTACACTTTTGTCCTTACAATGATATACAATATTATACACAATAATGATATACAATATTATACACAACCATGTCAATCTTTTTCTGAATTTTTCACATTTACAGCTTTACACTATTCTACAAAGTGTCATGCTCTAAAATTCCATGTACCAATTGTTATAGCAATACACTAAGATTTTATTTTTACGAAAAAGTTATTAAGATATGGAATTCTCTTCCTCATTATATTGTTTATACATCCATCTTGTCTTTGTTAAAATCAAAATTAAAAAAATACAATGCTAATCACCATTAATGCTATCAAAATTCAAATTAAAAAGCTAATCATGCTAATCACAAAATTAATGCTAATCACAAAATTAAAAGTACAATGCTAAACACCACTGCGCACTATACTAACTTGTTTTTCTTGGTGTAATAAACAAGTAATTTTGATATTACATGTATCACCTTTTTATATTTTTTTTTAAATATAAATAAATCAAATAATAATAATGAAAAAAAAAATTAAAAATAGGTGCTTAAAAAAAATAAAAGGTATGAATAAAAAGTGTTTAAGAAACCTATCAGAAACTTTTGAAAACTGAAAATACTTTTTTTCTTATAATTATCTTTTTTTGATTTCATTATTAATTCAAATAGTGTACCAATAATTTGCAATATTGAGTAAAGTGCCAAATCATTTACTAAAATCTAAATATGAAATATAAAATGTTTTGAATCTAATTGAGTCTTTTTTTATAAATAATTAACAAAAAATAGTAATATCTGACATACATATTTTGCATGAAGTCCAAGTGCTAAAAAGCTTTTTTATAATAAAGTTTTTCTTGGTTTTTTAATAAAGAAATATCAAAAAACCTCGAACAAGATATTTGCTAGAAAATTAAAAAAAATAGAAACAATTACTTAGCAAAAATAATATTTGAAAAAGCTACTGTTTTAAAAATGTTTACTTTCCTGCACTTTGTTTACAAATTGTTTATGCATAAGTTGTACTACATAACTTTTGTGATTAAGCAGAAGTGGTATCAGGCTGAGGCAGGAATGGCGGACAATTGTCCACGCCTTCCTCCACACCTATGTCAGTTTACAGATGAAATAAAGCCCATCCATAAATAAAATTATTCTTTTTAAAACATCAAAATTTAATGTTTTTTAGGTTGAGTCATTTTACTTACTTAGGCTGAGTATTCTACTTACATAAACAATAATTAACATAATGTGCATTTAAAATAAAATATTACCTCAATAAGTATTATGTAATTTTATAGTAATAAAAAAAATCTAATTATTAAGTTTTTGTGAGCATCTTGAAGATAAAAAAGTTCCTTATTGAACTTTGAGTTTTTAATGTCTTGACATAATTATCATTTTTTAAATATTTTTAAAAAAAAAAAAAAAAAAAAAAAAAAAAAACAATAACAATAAAGAACTTAAAATAACAGTTTTTAAAAAGCTATTTAAATTTCAATTTTAATCAACATAAAATGTAAAATTTTAACTATTCATTTTAAAAACAAAAAAAACTTTTCAATGTGCAATATATTTATAGTGTAAAAAAGTTTGTAAAATACGAATAAAATACATGACTAAAAAGACTTTAATTTTAAATACGTCTTGTATTCTAAAAAAAAATAAATAATAGATACACACATATTTAATAAATTAGAATAAAAAGTATAAAGACTTTTATTCAAGTTATTTTCTAATTACTCTCTCTTGCTTGGAGGTATTTTAAAGTTATTTTCTACTTTCTCTCTCTTGCTTACTATCCTCTCTCGCTTACTATCCTTGCTTACTATCCTTTCTCGCTTGGAAGTATTTCAGTGTGATTTTTAAACTTTTCAAATAAGAAAAAAAATTTTACAAAGAAGAAGAGTAACAAATTAACTTTTTATATAAAATAAGAAATAATGTGAAACAAAATAATATTTATAAAATAATCAACCATTTCAATAAAAAAAGTGATCTAAATATATATGATAAAATAAATTTTAAAAAGTTTGGTGTAGTGCAATATTCTTTTTAACAATTTTTATGATTTTTTGAAATGCTCATTAAAAATGAATAAAGGGAAAACAAAACATATAAAAAAATTGAAAATAAAAATAAAAACCTCTGCGAATCCTTTAACAGAAAGTTTAATTGGATTTTCCACAGTGTTTTCACCATAAGCATTTGGTATATTTTCCAAATATAATGCAGCAATATCATAAAATTGACCCACCTTATAAAAAAAAAAAAATCTAAAATAAATAATAAAAATTCAAAAAAAAAAAAAAAATTAATGGAAGTTGTGATTTTTTACATTTACACACAAAATCGTGTAATTAATCATCACACTATCTTCAGTTAAATATTAAATGATAATTGCAGGGTTCAAATTAAGTGATCGCAAATTGCGATATCTAGAAATGCTTCTGGTCTTTAAACTTTTAGCTTTTTAAAGACTGTACAATCTGTTTTGATTACTAAACTCAATAGCTGTTATTCAGTAAAAAATATTTATATTGACTTTGAATTGTGTTACAAAATCCTATTGTAAAATCATATTATTGTTATTACTATTATTTTTATAATTATTATTGTTATTATTATTTTTTATTATTATTATAGATTATGATTTAAACTTTATTATTTTAATTCATTTTATAAAACATCAGATAAAACTAGAAAAATAAAGCACAATAAAGTAGGATATAATTATTAAAAAACCAACCGGTAATCACAACAGTCTAAAGGAATTTAGTGATCAAATATTTTAAATGAATGAAATCATGAAATGAAATATAAAATACTTTTATATTTTATTTAAATCTTATTCAATATTTCCTTAAAAATTAAATGCTCGTAACTTTTTTGCATATATGTATACAAAATTATAGACAGAGGAGTTTAAAAATATATAAAAACTAATTTAAACTTTTTATAGTTATTTCAAAACTCTTATTTATTATTATAACTTATATTAAAGTATATCTTTTTTATTATTAATTTTATTATAAATTAATTAATTTCAAATTTAAAAAAAAATTAAATTTTTAAATAAATTATTCCTCAAAGTTTCTCCCTAAACAAAATCAATTTTAATATATTATACAATGTGCAAATAGCTTTAGCATAATTTTTTATTGGTTTTTTAAATTAACGCGCAAAAATTTTGCTAACAATTATAAGTTTTCCTCCTTTTTTTATTTATTAATTATTATTATTTATTAAGCTTTTTTTATTTATTTATTATCTAAAAATTACTTGGTGTTTAAATAAACAATAATTGAAAATTTGTAAGTTTTGACTGTATTTATTTTTGCAGTAGTAAATTTATTGTTTTGACTTTTTTATTAAGTTTTGCAATATGATAAATTGATGGTTTTAATAAAACAGTGTTCATGGTTTTTAATAAACCGAACATTTAATGACCAGAAATATTTGTGGATAATACAAATGGCTATCACCTAATTCAAACCTTAATCTACAAACAAAGTTAAGTGAAGAAGATTAAATTATGAACTTTATTCTTAATAATTATAAATATTAAAACTTTTTTAACTTTTCTTTTAATTAAAAATATCAATTACTATTTTTAATATATTATTAAATAAATTATTATTTTATTTTAAAATGTGAACAAAAAAAAATTTAAATTTAATATAATTTATTATTTTAAATTTGCCATTGGTTTTTAGCTTACCTTTTTTTTTTTAATTAATCATTAAGCAAATTATTAATATATAAATAAATAATTAGTTTTATTGTATATTAAACAACCTTAATATTAAAAAAAAAAACTCATCTTCACAAGGTTGCAAGCAACAAATATATAAATTTGCAAGCAATCAAAGCATAATACAAAGGTATTTTTAAGACATAAAGGACATATATATATATAAGGATTTTTTAAAACATATATATATATATATATATATATATATATATATATATATATATATATATATATATATATATATATACATATATATATTGTTAATTTACTTCCCCAAGGCCAAGAAGGCCACTCCAGACAAGGATGCTACTTAATTGTGGCTATAACCCTCTCTCAACTCTATCACTTTGAAATACGAACCTTGACAAACAAGGCCACTGTGCAGAGAAACAAGTTGAGCACGGTACTACCAGAAACGTGGTGGGGATCGAAATCTCGGAATCTCTCGCTTATGAAGCAAGCGCTACAGCACTACACCACTACCGCATTATATATATATATATATATATATATATATATATATATATATATATATATATATATATATATATATATATATATATATATATATATATATATATATATATATATATATATATATATATATATATATATATATATATATATATATATATATATATATATATATATATATATATATATATGTATATATATATAGTATATAAAAACAATATATAAAAAAATTATATATATATATAATATATATAATATATAAAAACAGTTTGAGTTGGTTTTAAAGATATTTTGAATAAAAAATATTTTTAGGGATGCCACAAGACACTTAAACATCAAACAGGTTCCTAATATTATCAACAAAATAAAGTTTGCCAAAAGTATGCTTTATTCAAAAAAAAAAATTTTTATTAAAAAATTTTTTAAACCCAGTATTATTTTATTATATAGAACACATTTAGGAGGTGTCAGCAGACATTTTCAAATATATATATATATATATATATATATATATATATATATATATATATATATATACACATAAAATTTAGTATGCAAAAGTTTTAAGGAGTTTAACTTTTTCAAAAATTAACTCTACATAGCGATGTGATAGCGATGGTCGTGATGGTTGTAACTTTTATTTTTTATCACCTCAGAACAAAACAACTTTGTCAGACTTAATGCAGCGATAAGAAAATGATTTGGTGTGTGTATTTAACACATATTGATATTATTATACGCTGAGTTTCATAGTTTTTACTTGAAGTTTTACAAGGGTTTTTATGTTTTTTACTTGAAGTTTTACAAGCATTTATAGGTTTTTACTTGAAGGTTTACAAGCATTTTTACGTTTTTACTTGAAGTTTTACAAGCTTTTTTATGTTTTTAGTTGAAGTTTTACAAGCATTATTGGGTTTTTACTTGAAGTTTTACAAGCATTTTTAGGTTTTTAGGTTTTTTTGTTGTGACAGTTTTGTTGTGACAGTTGTGACAATTGTGACAAAAATGTTACAGTTTTGTTGTAACCACGACGATTGTAACAAAAAATCCAATATCAAAAAATGACAATTAATTGAGAAAAAAAGTCTGATTACTATTATGTTAAAATTTTTATAAAATAAATTTAAAAGAGGTTTTAAAAGTTAAAACATCTGTTTGAAATTTATGAAAACCATTGGACAAAAAATGAAATAAATACTTAACTATAAATTTAAATTTATAAATTAAATTATAAATTTATAACTAATTGCAAAATTTTAGTATAAAAATTACAAAAGTATAAAAAACCGCGCTACTTCAAAAAAATGTAATTCTTTGGTGTCGTTTAAAAAATGAACTAACTCAAAAAAATGACATTTTATTAACATTGCTGAGTGTTTAACTTTTTGTTTTGTATAAAAAATAAAAAATTCAAAAAATAAATTTTATATGCAATACTGACTTTATTAATAATTTTAGAACAACTAAAATGATTAGAAAATAAATGCACAAAAAATGACCAATAGATGTTGTTTTTTACCGTACAAGTGCCAAACAATGTCCAATGTCCGGCGCTTATTTCGAGCCCTGCATGTATGTATGTATGTATGTATGTATGTATGTATGTGTGTGTGTGTCTATATATATATATATATATATATATATATATATATATATATATATATATATATATATATATATATATATATATATATATATATATATATATATATATAAATATAAATTGACTATATGCATATTAATAAAAACAAACATAAACTAACATACATATAAAGGATTGAACTGGACCAAAAATTTTGTCAAAACATTTTCTTTTAAAACTCCAAACTCTGGTAACACTTTAAAAACTGTTTGGTTGTTGCAAGAAGAACTGAGGTTACTTATTCCACTTTTATTAACACTTAAATCTGGAAACTGTATAGTCCAATAAAAATTTAATGGTACAGATCTGAAAAAAAAAATAATAAAAAAGATAACAAATAAAAAAACAAACAATTCCAATAATCTAAAATATTTTAAAATAAATCAGTAACAAAAAGAATATAAATATATTACATATCATTTTTTATAACAAGCACTCTAGTTGTTAACTCATTTGGATAACTCCGTCCAAAATTTATAATCTGTTCTGCAGTTTCATCTATCATTTCTTGAACATGTGCATATGTAAAACCTCCCTCGATATTGTTAATTGAAACATGAGCAACCTCACTTGTACCTTTATTGATATACATAACATAAATTTTATATAGAACAAAATTATTGATATACATAATAAAATTTATTATATTTCTGTAAAAACAAAATTCTATATTAAACTAAAAAAATTGCATAAGTTTACGCAAATTACTCAAAAAAGATGATGAGTTACATAGTGAGTATTCTACTAAAAAAAATTGTATGTTGAATTGGGTATTGAGTATAATGTATGTATATAATATATATATATATATATATATATATATATATATATATATATATATATATATATATATATATATATATATATATATATATATATATATATATATATATATATATATAGATATATATACACGCATTTTTTAATGCATGTTACGAATTGCCTAAATAATTTCTAATAATCACATATTCCAGTTAAAAATAAATTTAGATATTAATTATTTAGAAATATAATTCCCCTGCCTCTAGGCTCTTGGTTGAGAAAAGGCTAGAGATATTGTCTCGATAAAAATACTGATCTTGGGCAGATGTTAACTACGTCCAGCTAAAATTCCCATGCCTAAGGGCTCTTGGTTGAGTAAAGGCTAGAGATGGTATCTTGATAAAAATACTCACTTTAGACAGATGTTAACTGCATCCAGGTACTGTCTTGAAGGAAGCCTCTTAGGCAAAGACTTTAAAGACACTAGAGGTAAGCAGAATAATTCTGCTAACCAGCCCCGAACCCCTTCTTCATCTATTAGGCTGGCATAAATGTAAATCTGTTACATTGTTTCTTGCATACTACACCATATAAATAAAGTTTGTATAAATATGAAAGGATATTGTATGCCAGCATCAAAATAAATACCAAACATATATGTTTATATCCATAATATGTAAGCACATCTTGGAAGCTTTTATTCCTTCTGAACTAAAAGTTTGGAAGCTTTTATTCCTACTCTCCGATCTTAAATTAAGCCTCACTCTACTTCACATTTTTCACCATTTTTAGCAGTTGCTTTATTAATCATTTTTTTCATCTTTTTTACAAAAACTTTTAAGAACAAATGTTATTTTATTATTCCAACAAGCCAATCTAAAAAGGTCCTGTCTGATGATAAGCTCTTTTATTCTCAGTTTACTAAATCTTGAACCTTATATCAGAAGTTGGATTCTAGAGACTTTTGGTCAGTCTTTAAAAATGTCACTAACTAAAGTAAGTCTAACATTTAATCTCTAATTCATGGGTCTGATCTTTTTACTTATTATATTTTCCCAGAATAAAGCAGAGTTATTTGCAAAATAATCTCACTCTAATTTGACTCTTGAATCTAATGGCCATACTCTTCCTTCTCAATAAAACACTTTTATTGAGAAGGAAGAGTATACAGGAATACAGTTTGTGCACTAGACAAGATTCCAATCATAGTCTTTAAAAAGTGTTCTCCAGAACCCTCTTTAATTTTTGCCAAATTTTAAAAAAGTGCTAAATAAGTGGTTCCAATTTTTAAAACTATAGAAAAATTTGACCTCTCTAACTATCCTACAATTAGTTATTACTCTGTTATTAGTTTCTTTACATAAAAATTTTGAGATTATTAAATTATTTCTTTCTAAGTTCAGTATTAAATTTATTCTTGAAGGTCTACACTTTTTTTTATTCAAGTAACTTCAAGAGTACCACAATATTCTATCTTTACTCCTGTATTGTTCCTGTACTGTCTTATCAACAATATCAATCTTCATGAAAATTTTATTTAATTTAAACATCTAAAGTGGCTCTATTTGCTGACGACTCAACTTTATACTCTTGTCTTGACAAAAAAATCTTCACTATTTGATTGCTTAGAACAGGCAGCCAATATTTATCTGATCTCTTTTCTTTGACAGCATAAGGTATGCAGTGGCTTATGGATTTAAACTCTGGACTTTAAATCCACAATTTTTTCAGACAACAAAACTCATTTATTTACAGCAAAAAAATATTGAAATATTGTTTTATAAAAATATTGCAATATTGGCATTCCTATATTGACGAATTACAACCCTCTTACTCTTAGACAAAGTCTAAAAGCACATTGTCACTCTCCCATTCAATCCAATTAAACTGGCTTTATCTGCCAAGCTGGAGTCACTCTCCCATTGTTGTAAGGTTGCATTTCTTTCTTTTCAAATACCATCATGGTCATTGCTCAAATGAGCTTTCATCTCTATTACGATAAACCAAAACTCATTCTTGCTTGGTTCTTATTCAATAAGTTGCATCCTTTTACTGTATATGTCCCTTCATGCTATAAAAACTTTTATCAACCCAGTTTTTTTCCTTGCACATCAAAAAAACCTTATAATTCTTACCCATCTTCATGTTTTTCTTTTATATACAACCTACAACTTTCTCAGTCTTCAGTTAACCATTCCCTAGTATTTTTGTTTATTCTCTATTTTAAAGTAACTCATAACTTAATAGTGGCTGCTTGCAATTTTGTTGGAAGTAAATCATAGTTTGAAAATATATAAATATTTGCCAGTATTTAATAAATAGTAAAGGTAAACATAAAATTATAATATTACAAGAATTATAAATTTTTAATTATAAATTTTTAGTCCTCGCTATCAACCCCTGCTAAATCTTATAGTTTTGCCAGAGCCAGGTTTGAAAAAAGTCTTATTTTTAGCTGGGCCTTACTTACTACATGTTAAAGCTTTTGGTGCGCATTGTCAAGGCAACATAAGGAGCTTAGGTTAACTTACAGGAGTGTGACAACTGTATAGCTCATTGTTTAGGTAGTAGGTTGTGCTCTATCTATGACTGAGTCAAGTTCTCTTTAAACCTAAATCATACTAAAAGTAACCCAAAATATTAAAAATAAAAAACCATCCTCACCACTAAACTGTTTTAATATATCTTTTACAAATATTTTTAGTCTTATGGTCATTCTCTTCCTTCCATTCCAATAAAACAGGTTAACCCATTATTAGACATTCAAACCACTTCAGATTCTGTTGCTGAAGTCATATCTCAATTAAACTCTTTTATGGCTTGTGGTCCAGACAACATTCCTGGCATAGTGTAACAAAATAGTTCTCCAGAACTCTTTTTAATTCTCTCTAAACTATTTAATAAATGCTTGACTAAATCTTGTTTTCTGTTAAAAATGTTATTTGCTGTTCGAATTTCCAAAAATTCTAGAGTACTTATCGTGACTGAAAGATCATGCATTAGATAGAGACGAAAAGGCTAGGGCTATTGCTCTTGGTATATCTAAAGTTTTCAACAAAGTTTGGCATTCTCAGCTGGTCTTCTCTATAAGCTTGTTTCATATGGTGTGTCTGGGAAAGTTTGTGAGATAATCAAATTGTTTCTTTCTAACCGCTTTACTAAAGTCATCCTTAAATGCCAACATTCTTCTTCATTTCCAGTAACTTCTAGGGTACTACAAGGCTTTATCCTTGGTCCTGTTTCATTTTTTATTTACATTAATAATCTTCCCGAAAATCTAAAATCTAAAGTAGCTCTTTTTGCTGATGACTCAATTTTTTATTCCTGTCTTGACAAAAAGTCTTCTTCTTATTTTGATCACTTAGAACAGGCAGCCAATCTTAAATCTGATCTTACTTCTGTAACAAATTGGGGCTTGCAGCAGCTTGTGAATTTTAACTCCAACAAAACGCTATTTTACTGCAAACAACTATTGCAACATATTAATCAATAACAAGTCAACATATTAATCTATAATCTATTTTTCTTTGTGCTTTCTGCTCAAAGGAGTCATTACCTGTAGTTCCATTAACTAAAAATAATTCTTGCTTGACTCGCCATTAAGCTAAGTATAATTCTTTTACTGTATCTATCCCTACATGCTCTAAAAAATTTTATACATCAAATTTTTTTCCTCTCACTTTAACCCTTTGGAACTCTGTCCCATCTTCATGTGTACCCGACTCATAAAACCTACAATTTTTTGAGTGTTCTGCCAACCTTTTCCTTGCTTTATAACTATACTTTTTTTTTTCTAGTAATTCCCAACTTAATAGTAGTTGCATGTAGCTTTGTTGGGAGTGAATCAGAATAAAAAATAAATATATATTATGTTTAACTTCTTACCAGTAAGAGTATACTTGGTCACAGAACAATCATCACAAAACAAGTATATAACTTCAGAAAAATGTTTTACAGCTCTTGGCTCAAATATAATCTAAAATATTAAATAATAAATAAAATTATATAATAAATAAATGATATGTGATATGACACTGATGTGACATTTATTTTTACTCTAAAAGCATCAACAATACTTATTAAAAAAACTAACCGTTAATGATATTTTTCCACCATTATTAATTTGAAACTGTGCAGGAAAAACTGTAAAAGGTTTTATTGAAAGCTTTATTACATCAGTATAATCAATCTAAAAAAATGTATTTAATATAATTTTTTTTTTTTATGAATTTTGCTTTTATTTTGCTCTTTGTTTTGAATAAGTTCAATTTAGTAGATTCAGTGTTGTATCTGACTACAATAGTTGCACACATAAATTTGTCATAAAAGCAATATTTTTATTTATTAATTTTTTTTTCACTTGAGAACCACTTCACTCTATCATCATTTTTACTCCATCATCAATAACCACTTCACTCCAACATCAACCACCACTTTAATCCATAATCCATCACTATTTCACTCCACCATCCATCACCATTTCACTCTATCATCCATCACCACGTCACTCCAGCATTCATCTTTACCCCAAAGGATATAAGACATGTATTAAAGGTGTAAAATATGTATTAATACATTTTAAAATATTTTAGGTGTTTTAAACACGTCTTGTGCCCATTAGGACTGGGACTGTGCCTCACTCCATCGTCCATCACCACTTCACTCCATCATCTTTTACTTCTATATTATTCTATATCATTATAACTATATTCATTCTATATCATTATATTATATCAGTAAACTTTTTCTCAAGACAATTTAATTTTTTATACTTTTTACAAATTTGACCGTGTTTTTTCCTCTAGCCAATGATAGTCAAAAATGACTTTTAAATAATATAATGCAATATACATGTACATCTCTCACAATTAGGGGCGGCATTTGGCAATGCCAACCTAACTGCCTTGTTTCTATGTTTTATGGTTCTATGTTTTATGGTTCTATGTTTTATGGTCATTTCTTAGTCGATTTGAGAACATTTAAGTTTACGTACATAACAAAAAACTTTTGTTTTACCCACTTACATGGAAACATAATAAACTTACATCTTGGTGCGGAAGAATAAAAAGAATATTTGAGAACCGCCAAATTTACGAACAAACTAATTCTATTAATTCAAAAAATACGCTGACTATGCAAAATAAAGTTCTACAGTTTTCTGTTGAAATATTTTAGAAATTGTATAATAAATGATCTCTTACGTTTTGAGATTTCTAGCATAAATTATTTTAAAAATATATTATCAATACTATGGCTCATTCTCGGAGCCACATCTGCACATCTATGGCTCATTCTGCCACATCTGCAAACGAAGCCACATCTGCAATGAAGCCACATCTGCAAATGAAGCCACATCTGCAAACGAAGCCACATCTGCAACGAAGCCACATCTGCAACGAAGCCACATCTGCAAACGAAGCCACATCTGCAAACGAAGCCACATCTGCAACGAAGCCACATCTGCAACGAAGCCACATCTGCAACGAAGCCACATCTGCAAACGAAGCCACATCTGCATCGAAGCCACATCTGCAAAGCCGTAAATCTCTTAAACTATTATTATTTGTTTACAAAAATAAATGTTTTATAATATATATTTTTTAAAGTGTCAAATTTTTGAAAGTTTATTATTATTTTTTATTTTAAAAGTATGTATTTTTCATGTAAATGTAATTTTTTTCATCTGTTTTTTATCGTTATGTAATCTTTTAAAGCAAATTTTATGATTTAATTTGTAATCAAAGACTTGCAAAAATAATTGCGTTTTCAATAAAGTTATTAATAATCATCAAAGTTAATAAAACTAATTATATAACAAACATATAAGAAGTTTCAGGTTACTAAACACCATCGATTATCCTGGTCATATTTAAAATATCCAGAAGATTTTTTTCCTTATATTATCCGTAAAAAAATATATATATATTTCAATCATTTTAGTTTACATTTGTTAGTTCGTTTTTACAATATAATGAGAGTAAGTAAAAAAAAAACTAATACAAATTATAAAGTAAGGAAATACTACTAACATTTGAAAAACTAGGTATCTGAAAGAAGATCAATAAGATCTTATCGTCAGAACCTTATGCTAGTGTAAACAATAAATTAGGTTATAAAGTAACTATAAGTACAACAAAATAAAAATAAAATATACATACATATATCACTTTCTAGTATAGATAATAAAGTTTAATAAATATTTCCATAATATAAATATTATTGTCAAATTTTGATAATACGGGAGAGAAAAAGATTTTTCAGCTTAACTTTAAAAAGATGCAAAGAAGTAGATCAAAATTTAAATTAGGCAAAACAATTTTGTTCCACAGATGGGGTGCACGATGATCAATGCAAAATTGGTTAAAATTTGTTTGACAAAAAGACTCATATAGAAGGTTGTTATTTCTTAGAGAGTAGTTATTGGTTGGTTTCAAGGCAATTAAATCATTAAAAACGGCAGGAGAAAGATTGTTTTTACATATATATACAAAGCATAAAATATTAAAAATATTAACTTCATAAATATTAAGAATTCTCATTTCAGAAAAAAAGGTTGTTTAGACTGAAAAAAACGATCAGCAAAAATAGTTACACGCATTGCATGTTTCTGACGGCGAAAGAGAGATTGTTACTTATTTTTTTTAGTACTTGCCCAAGCAATATTTGCATAATTCATATAACTATGAATGAATGCATAATAAAGTTGGGATAAAACTTTTTTATTTATATAGATTCTGGCCTTATATAGAATTCTAATAATTTTTGAAACTTTATTACCAACATAATCAATATGTTGCTTCCATGTGATGTTCTCATCAAGGAATGTGCCTAAAAATTTTGTGGTGCAATCTATTTTTATTTCAATTTGCTCAATAAAAAAATTGGGTAGAGTTGGGGGTAAATTACGTTTTTTTGTTATCGAATGAAAAAGAATCCATTTTATTTTTTTAATATTTAGGTTAAGTTTATTGCATTTGAACCAGCTAGAAATTATTTTGAGTTCTTCATTCATAGTAGTGAAGAGTTTATTAATATTGTTATCAGATAAAAATAAATTAGTATCATTCACAAACATAATTCTTAAAAGATTAGAAGCTTTATGCAAACCATTAATGTATATTAAAAAAAGAAGTGGCCCCAAAATTAATCCTTGCGGAATACCACATGAAATATTTAAAACATTTTTTAATAAGGTTCGTTAAAAGAAACAAATTGTTTTCGGTTTGTTAAATAACTTTTAAACCATTTCAAAATTACACCATCCACTCCATAATATTCAAGTTTATGAATCAAAATGTCATGATTTACTGTATCAAATGCTTTTGGTAAATCCAAAAAAATACTTAAAGTGAAATGTGAATTTTTGAAAGAGTTAGAGATTTCATGGACGAATTGATTGCATGCTCAGTAGAACTATTTTTTTTAAAACCAAACTGATTTTTATAAAAAAAGTTCTTCTCCTTTAAATAAGTATATAATCGATTTTAAATAATTTTTTCTTAAATTTTTGAAAATGTTGATAAAATAGAGATAAGTCGGTAGTTACATATATTAATACTGTCTCCTTCTTTGTATAATGGGATTATCTTAGCTATTTTTAACTTATCAGGAAAAACTCCTTGTTGTATTGACGCTCTGAAACCTTTAAAAAGAATCTAAATATTAATACTCTAATGAATAGTGCGCATAGTTACGCCTATTGTTTTATAGTTACAGTACGGTTCTGCATCTGTAAAATACACTTTTTAAGTAGTTTCTAGACTTTTCTTTACCACGTGCTTTCTTTAAGATTTCCTTTCAACCCTTCATGGTACAAGTTCAAAATGTCCAAGTTGACATTAAGTAGATAATGTTTAGTAGCTTAAAATTACAGGTAATCTAAAATCTTTTTTAAATTTTATAAGTAATTAATTTATTGTAATCTTTTTTAAATTGTACTTTTAAATTTAAAGCTTCGTGTTATAGATTACTTTAATTCTTAGATTGTGTCTAGCGTTAAAATATATTTATGGGTAGTTTCATGATTTCACATAGTTTTGGTTATTGGGATAAAAGCCATGACAACATTTTGTTATAAATTTATCTTAATTTAATTTTTATTGAAAATTTTGTTATAAATAAAATTTATCTTTAGTATTGTTAATACTTTTGCTCTTTGAAAAAAAATATGTTTCTGGCTCTTCAAAAAATATATAATAATTTGTCTTGCATGAATGAATTTTGGTTTAGGATTTAATTGTGTTATTTTATGTTTGTCTTTCTGTATTTAATATAGCATTTGTCATTTGCATACACTTTTATTTAAGTTTAATTGTTTATAATTTATTTAGGTTATTAGAAAATTCATGTTTACAGAGTTGTTATTAATCATAATCGAGTTGTTAAACCAAGGAAATTTTGGAGGTTTATTTATCATATATACTATATATATTATATGATAATATTGGAGGGAGTAAGTTTAAAAGCATTTTTAAATTTTTAAAAAGAAATAAAAATACTTTTCAATATATATCTGTTTTCTTTGAGGTAGAATTAAAGTTTCAGTTTTTCAAAATTTAAAGTTTCAAGTTTTCAAAATCGTAATCTTTTCAAAATGTGTAAGTAGACATGGAGTATATATAAAATCTTTTTAAAATTTTATAAGTAATTAGTTTATTGTAATCTTTTTTAAATTGTACTTTTAAATTTAAAGCTTCGTGTTATACATGTTAATATTGAAAATATAGATTACTATAATTCTTAGATGGTGTCTACCATTAAAAGATATTTATGGGTAGTTTCATGCTTTCAAATGCTTTTAATAATTGGGATAAAAGCCATGACAACATTTTGTTATAAATAAAATTTATCTATAGTATTGTTTATACTTTGGCTCTTTAAAAAAAAAATGTTTTTTTTTCTTTTCAAAAAATTTAATAATTTGCCTTGCATGATTGAATTTTGGTTTAGGATATTATTGTGTTATTATATGTTTGTTTTTCTATTTATATCTAATTTATAAAGATTTAATTTATAGTTAAGATAAATATAATTTATTTAATTTAAAATTAAGATATAAAATAAAATATCTAATTTATAAACATTTAGATCATTAGAAAATTTATATTTACAAAATATTTATTATTCATAATCAAGTTGTTGAACCAAAGAAATTGTAGAGGTTTATTTATCAAATATACTATACATATT